AATTAAACTCTGCAAAAACACTCTACTGTGCTCTTTTCCAAGGAAAAGCAGCAGCACAGGATTCTGAAACATGAAAAAGTTGTATTCCAGGCCTAAATGGATGCTTGTTTCTTTCCTTTCGCAGTGGCTATGTATGCTCACAGTAGTCAGAAAATGCCTGTTGGAAGATGAAGCAGATGAGAACAGACATTTGTTCCACCTTCTAGAGTGCACCTTTAGTTCTACAATTGTCTTGTATCAGTTAACATACCTAATAGGAAGAGGTATTAAAATAGTCACTGTAGCTATTACAGCTTTCAAGGCTGTGTATTTGAAGCTGCTATACAACAGCTCTGTATATTTTGTTTGTTCTCTCCTCCTAGTAATAGTGTACTATATACATCTCACAAATATGTTAAGGAATATTTCTGGAAGCATATACAATATTAATTAAGCATAACACATAGGCAGGTGCACAGTCAATAGCTGTAAAATGCATTCTTGGATAGATAACACCTCCCTTTTTCAAGGGGTTGGAAGGATCAGTGCCTTAATTCAAGCAGGGTACTGTGTTGTCTGGAATCTCTCCTGGTATTGTTCCCCTCTCCACTGGCACGAAGTCTGCAGCTCTAAGGAGCTTCTATGTATCCATAACCTCTTCTTTTCTATGTTTAATACAGGGGTGCCCAACCTTTCACCTTCCCTGGGCCACATTAGAAGATGAAAATTTGGTTTGGGCCGCACATAAATTTGTTTTGGGCCTCATGGGGGGGCAGCCCTAGCCACCCTCCACAGCCCTGCTCCAAGCGCGCTTATCGGCAGCTGCGATCTCAGACAGCAGAGGCTGCCAGCTTCAACTCCGGTGGCATTATGGGGCCGGGAGGGGGTCCACCTATTGAGGGTGACAGCGCAATGCAGTCACACAGCCCCCCTCTCTCCTCCCCTCCCTCTCCCTGCCCCAGCCGCATTCCGGCCGCAAGTGCTGGCAGTGTAACTTGAAACTTTGGAATGTTTTTTAAAAATTAAAATTTGCACTGGGCCGCATTATGAGCCGACCTGGGCCATATGCGGCCCTCGGGCCGCAGGTTGGACAAGCCTGGTTTAATACGTAGTGGTTCGGGTTAAACTGCAGAAGCCTCTGTTCTGCAAGGTTGGAAGACCAGCAGTCGTAAGATCGAATCCACACGATGGCGTGAGCTGCCGTTGCTTGCTCCAGCTCCTGCCAACCTAGCAGTTTGAAAGCATGTAAACATGCGAGTAGATAAATAGGTACCACCACGGTGGGAAGGTAACTTCTAGTTGCACTGGCCACGTGACCACGGAAACTATCTATGGACAAACGCTGGCTCTATGGCTTGGAAACGGGGATGAGCACCGCCCCTAGAGTCAAACACAACTGGACTAAATGTCAACGGGAACCTTTACCTTTACCTTTTTAGTTCTGTTATGGTGCTGCATTTATACAGTGATATTTTCAGTGGTCACTTCCAGATAAAAGCTTGCTTTCATTTAAAAAATGCAGACTTTTACTATATTTCAATTTAAAAAAACTGAAATCTTTTTGCTTAGCACAGTAAATGGCACTAGAGTAGCCCCATTGGACTAGTGGGGATTTGGTGAGTCAACTCTTCCATAAGTTAAGTTGTTTCAAATGAACCTGCTCTAGTTATGACTTACTTTAGAATAGTGAGCTATAATTAAAATAGAACAATTTGAATGACTGGAAGGAGGAATTGACCCACCAAATCTCTACTGATTCAGTGGACCTGCTCTAGTGCAACATACTACACAAAGCAACAAAGTTTCAGCCTATATGGTCAAAGTAATGTATAATAAAGCAACTTATTTATTTATTTGTAGATTCAAACGAATCTATTCTGGGCGGCTTACAGTCCGAGCAATAAAAACAAGAATTAAAACAGACAATATCCAAACAAAAAAGAGAAGTCCAAGATGGGAAAACGCAGGGAACTAAGTGATGGAAGTGGGGAAGGCCTACCTGAAGAACCAAGTCTTCAGTTTGTTCTTAAAAACTCCCAGCAAGGGTGCCAGGCAAATCTCAGGGGGCAAGATGTTCCAGAGGTGAGGGGCCACCACCGAAAAGGCCTGGTTTCTAGTTCTCTCCTTTCAGGCCTCTCTTGAGGTCGAGCCCCTCAGCCACCCAGCCTGGCTAGATCGAGTGACAAGAGTAGAGCTAAATGGGAGCAGGCACTCTGCCAGGTATCAATGAATTCATTACAATGTGAATAATACAGCATATGAATTAAAATAATTATGTTAATTGTTATTCTTATTCTAGTGTACAATTAAAACTCTTTAACATTTCAATAAATATGACTTTTTTTCACAAAATGTAAGAAACCTGGATCTTAAAACTGTTGGCCATATCTTCTGGATCATTCTGTATTAGAAGATCTTGTGCTCCCTTCCCTCAGTTGACAGCTATCTTACTTTTTCATCTGATTATTAAGCTTATTTCTGATTCTAACTCTGCTGAAAGAACTGTTTTTTTTTTAATGACTTCATAGTAGTATTTTTGCATCAGGAGGGATTAAGACTTCCATCCATGTCTCTAATTAACCTTATAATCTGTATTCAAAATTCTTTCACTCTTCCCTTCCATTGTAATAAAGTTGGCATCCACAGCACGGTACTACCAACACTAAATTTTTAATACATTTCAGTCTGTTCAGCATCAAATATTATTGGTGTTTAACCTCAATGTTTTGTTTAAGATTAGAACTAATTTTTCTCCATATCTTTCCAGGTTTTTGAAACGACAGATTAGAAGTATAGAGTTACAATATTGTTTTACAGAAAACTGTAGTTAATAAAATGGGATGTCCTGAGCCTGATCAATTTTTTTCTCTAAATTCCTACATTAAGCGCTGGTGACATTGAAAAACATTTTTGATACAATCATAAGAACTGCCTATGTTCTTTCTTTTTCATGCACTAGTTTTCAGTAATTGCAGAAATGATACGGTGCCTATATTTCCTCACACTATTATAGTTACCTGTCAATTAGATACACCTAAAAATCATGACAGGATTGCACTTTAACTCAAATTTGTTTCGGTGCTAAAAACGTAATGTGGAACAGTGTTGCCTACAGACTACTTGATGTAAAAATAAATTGCTCAGCTTTAATCAAAAGCAATTCTTGTTAGCTCTTAATTCTTAAAAATAGAACTGCTCCCATGGGCTTGTCCAGTTAAAACCCTGAAGAAATTCTCTTGAAGCATTTTTTGCCCTTATTTTACTGATTTACCCCTCTGTGTCTGCATTGGTTCATCCATTTCTGTATCACTTCTATAGTTTTGTTTAGAGAATGAAGTTATAACATCAGCTTTAAAACAATCATAGAAAATTAGCTTCTTAATGTAAAGCAAAATGTAAAAGGAACAGTGTATGCCAGGGGTAAGTAAATTGTGGCCCACCATAATTTTTAGATCAGAATCCTCATCACTGCCTGTGCTGACTATGACTGATAAAAGTTGCATTTCAACAAGTTCTGGAAGGTCACAAATGGCTCATCCTTCTCTTCAACAAACATATGTAGATATCTTATTTTTTTAAGAGATGAGGTTCTGCACTTTGGAATTGTTAATTGAAAGAGCTTGATTCAAGGCCATTGTTGGACCTACTTATGAGAGTGAAAGACATTGTGGACCTAGTGTACTGTGTTTCAATTAATGTTGAGCTTAGAGTGGAAGAAATGCCCTTCAGGTTTGAGTATCCCAGGCCATGCAGAGTTTTCAATTCAACCTTAAAAATAGCATGACCAGGAGATAGAATTGACTAACAAGGTAAGTGGCATACAACAAGTTGAAAACATGCATTGCTTTCAGCCCTTTATGTAAGATGTATTGCAGCAGCCCTAGATCGAGACCATTGTCATAAGGAACCATGAAATTTAAATATTTCATCTACATCAGCACAGAAAGACACAATGAATTTGGGAATAGAGAATTCCTTAGAAGCCAAAGACAGAATAAGTCACTCTTAGCAAGAACTGCTGCCTGATTCTTAAGAATCAGAGCTGGACCCAGGCCCCTCCTCCAGGTTCTTTACTTGATAATATCACAGAGAGTGTCACAGAAGTCCCATCAGCTATAGGTAGGCTTTTGTATGCCAGATGATAGGTATTCCATCTTTGTGTTACCTTGGGTTTTTTTTTGGATACTGTTATAGCCCACTGGTTCTTAACCTTGGGTTACTCAGGAGTTTTGGACTGCAACTCCCAGAAGCCTTCACCACCAACTGTGCTGGCTGGGGTTTCTGGGAGTTGCAGTTCAAAAACATCCGAGTAACAAAGGTTAAGAACCACTGTTATAGCCAACTTCTTTTGATATCATGGGATTTTCTTCATGCTAGTGAGCTGGCTATCTAGTTATGGAGCCAGAGGTTGGGAGCCTGACTCCCTGTTTTGCCTTAGGCCAGCCTGTTTTGCCTTAGGCACGTAGCACACTCCCAGAAGAAGGAAAGAGCAAACCATTTCTGAGTACTTTATATCTGAAAGACCACGGAAAGAGTTTTTAAAAGTCAAAATTAACTTGATGGCATGTAATTTATTATTATTATGTTTGCTTTGAACTCAGTTTTGCTTTGAATATCTTGATGTAAGAATTCTCCCTCATAAAAGTGTTCAGTTGTGGGTACAGATTCTTAGTAACCACTGTCTTGAGTGCATGACCAGAAGCAGATAGTAGTGCTGGGTATTACTATTAGATCTCCTGATGATGCCCAGTTGATAAACAAAAGTTTTGGAATGAAGTTGTTTATTAGTGGCAACTAACAAAAGGCTCCCCATCTTCTATATTAAATCCAAGGTATAGGAATCAATGGCAGTTCCCCAAGACTATATAAACAAAATGCCAATAGGTAGATATCTGGGTGGGGACAGATAGTAGCAATAATTAGCTGTTCTTATATTCTTTTGGAAAATATTGATTTTATATTGATTGTAAGTATTATCAATTTTAACAAAATTGAGAACTCTTCTTTCCTCTTCTTTTCAGGTTGAATCTACACAAAGCATGATTAGGATTTTGGGGCTTTCTGCTACATTGCCTAACTATCTGGATGTTGCTACGTTTCTGCGGGTTAATCCTTATATTGGCTTATTTTATTTTGATGGCCGTTTTCGTCCTGTTCCACTGGGACAGACATTTATAGGGATCAAGACAACCAATAAGGTAAACCTTTGGAAAAAGTTTAGGAAGACAACATTTTATAAGGAAGAAACATGTTAATGCTAAACTTTTCTGCTTATCTAATGACTATCCCTCTAGTACAGTGGTTCCCAAGCTTTGAGTCCCCAGATTTTCTTGGACTAAAACTTCCAGAAACGTTCACCACTGGCTATGCTGGCCAGGATTTCTTGGAGTTGCAACCCAGGACCACCTGGGGACCCAAGTTTGGGAGCCATTGCTTTGGTATCTTAACCCCTAAATGTAGCAGAGATCATTTGTCTACATTATGTCCCCTTCCATCATTGTTTAACACAGTTTTGATTTGAGATTGGAAGTTACTTTGGTGCATTGGTGCAGAAAGTTGTTTCATTTCTGATTTGATTTACAGGTCTCTTGAAAATACTATATATTTTGATGGTTTCCCATAAAATTATTACGGTATTTAAGATTTGGCCTATGTGTTTGTATGGGTATCTTGTTATTTCCTTGTCTGACTTGAGATTCAAATGTGGGTCTTATGGCTTATTGGGTTCCATGAGACATAGCAGAATTTCTTTCTAAATAAATATGCATAGGATTGCACTGTAGGTCACTGTAATAGCTTAAAACCATTAGAAACCATCAACAAAGGAAATCTGTGAACTATTTTCAACGTCTACAACAGGAAATCTAATCCGAGGGCTCACTTTACGTTGTCTTTTTCAGTATATCCACTTAGGTGTACATAGTTGTGAACTATTGCAGCAACACAGAATTGTTAGTGTAGGTGGAAAATGTCAGTGTGGGAGGAAATATTTAGCATATCATTTCCTGGATTGATTACCCTTGAAATTTTGTTTTTCTTCATTAAGCTTGGGTTTGAGAGTTCTCGCCTGTCTCAGTAGTCTCATTACGGTATGTTTTGCTGTAATAATAGAAATGACAAATGCTATTTTATTTCTTTGCCCATGAGATAGTTATTCAAAACAGTTAGTTATCTTTTTAGTATTCATATGCTGTGGGCAAAGTCAGAGTCTCAGTTTTGACTTTGAACTCCATGCTGTCATTTCAGGCTCTTGCTGTCTTAATGACTGATTTTGTCCCACCTACCTCTCTTAGAATTGAGGTTGAGTATATAATGATGCAGTATGATCCAGAATCATGCAAAGTTTAACACAAATAGAAAGTTGATGGTAGATTACTTTTCTGAAATGGTGTAGTACAAGCTTTGAGGGGCAATTCAGCACTGGAGCAAAGGCATGTGATTTTCCTGAGTTATTCAGGAATAGCATATCAGACTTTAAAGGCAGCCCCAGTTTGTTCATCGTAGCTGCAGCTTTCTCTTTGGAAGGAATCAGAGGTCACATCAAATAAAGGTGTGATGTTGACAGCATGCTGGGAATAATTCTGTTGATTTCAACATGACTTACATCTGAATAGACATGTATAGATAAATTGGCAAAACTCCCAATGTGGCTGAACTCTAATTCTTAGAAGCCTTAGCCATTCTGGCCAGTGATGATATATAAAAGGAACAGTTGTTCATCAACATCTGGAGGAATGTAGCATCATATCCTTTGACTTCTAGAATTTGTCTCCACCTGTGGATCTGGAAACCTTTAACCCAGTGGTAGGTTTGTATCTGCATATTTGTTACTAGCCATCAGATTGCTAAAACACTCTGTTGAGCATGAAGCTGTAGTAATATGATTCCATGATGCTGCAAGTTACTCATTTTATAGCTAGTGATACTTATTTCATCCATTCATAAAATCAGGATGAATATTTCTCAAATTGATTCCCTGAGATTAACTGAGAGATAGTTTTTATGTCCCACACGAGGTCTTGCAATACGGTTTGGGAACTTATTGATGTTCTAAATTGTTATTCCACTTGGTATCCTTTGATGGCAATTGAATGTTGCATGGGAAATAACAAGACTTACAACACTGAGGCACCCATCAGCAACTGGAAATCATTAAGGAGCATTGTAGACCTGACCTAACATGGAGAACAGAACTGCCTGTATACATCAGGCATAATTTCACTGCAAATTATATCTTGCCCATAGACCATTTTCAACTGTTATAGCTCAGAGTTGGCAAAATGTGCTCCCAGGGACCCAAGCCTACCACTTCCAAATTTAAAGTACCCTATTTCCCCCAAAATAAGACCTAACCGGAAAAGAAGCCTAGTATAATTTTTCAAGATGCTCGTAATATAAATCCTACCGACAAAATAAGCCCTAGTTAAGTGAAAGCCGCTCTTCACCATTGTACCGCAACCAGAAGAAGATGACATGACTATTTGAATAAACATAGATTGTTGTACAGTGGTGCCTTGGCTTATGAACATCCCGACTTACAACCATTTCTAGTTACGACTAGCTCCGGCTGCAAAATTTTGCTTCTACTTGTGACCGGAGCCTCCACTTACAAACAGAAAAAGGCAGGGAAAAAAGGCGAGAAATTCAAATTGCTAACTGTAAGTGGTAACGAGGCTGCTTCTTTGTAGCTTTTTCGCCCCAGCAGCTAGAGAGTGGCCATTGGAGGAGGCTTGGGACGCCTCCTTCTGCTTCTGAGTGTGTGTGTGTGTGTGTTTGCAGGGAGGCTTTGGGCTGCCTGGTAAGTTAAGGTGCTCTTTTCTGCTTTTTAAAAGCTGTTCTGGGTGTTTTTGCACCGTGGTTTTGAGCTGGGGGGGCATTATGTTTCTGTGCTGTAATGGGTCTTGGGGGGTTGTTTTTTGTCCCCCCCATTTCCGATGTGTCTTGGTTTTTTTTAAGAAGTGTTTTTTTCCCATTTCTTGGGGGGTTGTTTGTTTTTTGGTCCCCCCCCATTTCCGATGGGTCTTGGCAGGGTTGGTTGCTTTTTGGGTTTTTTTCCCACTTCCGAACGGTCTTGGGGGGTTGTTTGTTGGGTTTTATCCCCCATTTCTGATGGGTCTTGGGGGGTTTGGTTGCTTTTTGGGATTTTCCCCCCATTTCCAATGGGTCCTGCATGCTTCCCTTGCTTTTTTCTTTGTTTTCTTTGCATTTCCAACCTGCCCGCTTTGTTCTCTGTGCATTTCCGATCTGCTCCGTTTGTTTTCTGTGCATTTCCAATGAGTCTTGCACACTTGATTGCTTTTCTTTTCTCCCCCCCCCTTCATCCAGAAGGGATTAATCGCATTTTCAATGAGTTTTGCAGTGATTTTTTAATGTGTGTGTGATTTTTTTTCTTCAGCTGGAACGGATTAATTGCATTTCAATGTATTCCTTTGGGAAATGGTGCTTCGACTTATGACAATTTCGAGTTACATCTATCTTCTGGAACAGGTTATGGTCGTAAGTCAAGGCACCACTGTACATGAAAAAAACATCCCCCGAAAATAAGCCCTAATGTATTTTTGGAGAAAAAATTAATATAAAGCTTTACACTGTTCTGGGACTCTGACCAACCGTAGCCTACCCTCCACTCTAAAATTGATGCTGTTGAATGGCAGGTCTGTATCCAATAAATTCCAGCTTATTTATGATCTTATTCTGGAAGAGGATGCAGACCTGGCGTGCATAACTGAGACATGGATTAGTTGGAGTCCCTGAGACTTTTGGTCCTGGGTGACTTCAACATCCATGCGGAGGCAGAGATTTCTGGTCCAGCTCTTGAGTTCTTGGAAACCATGGCTTCCTTTAACATGTCCCAACATGTTAACGGCCCCACCCATGTGGGTGGTCATATGCTATACCTGATTTTCTCCAACAACTGGAGTGAGCGTGGTCTGTTGGTGACTGACCTTGTGTCAGTCTCCTTGTCATGGACGGATCACCATCTAGTAAAATGTAATCTCTCAGTGGCCCTCCCCCCTCTCAAGGAGCAAGGATCTATTGTAATGGTCTACCCTCGAAGGCTACTGGATCCTATAGCAGTGGTTCTTAACCTTTGTTACTTGGATGTTTTTGAACTGCAACTCCCAGAAACCCCAGCCAGCACAGTTGGTGATGAAGGCTTCTGGGAATTGCAGTCCAAAACTCCAGAGTAACCCAAGGTTAAGAACCAGTGTCCTATAGGATTCTAGGATACCATGAGAGGGATTCTGGCTGGCACTCCTGTTGAGGCTCTGGTGGACAGTTGAGTTACGGCCACCACTAGGGCTATCGATACGATTGCTCCTAAATGCCCTATCTAATGCAGAGTTTGGCCAGCGTCCTGGTTTAGCCAGGAACTACGAGTGATGAAGGATAGTAGGAGAAGGCTAGAGAGCAAGTGGACAAAGAAACCGATGGATTATAACAGAGAAGCTGTCAGGGTCGTGACTAACCATTATCTGGCCAAGATAAGGGCTGCTATTGATTGATTGATTGATTGATTGATTTGATTTGATTTGATTTGATTTGATTTGATTTGATTTGATTTGATTTGATTTGATTTGATTTGATTTGATTTGATTTGATTTGATTTGATTTGATTTGATTTGATTTGATTTGATTTGATTTGATTTGATTTGATTTGATTTGATTTGATTTGATTTGATTTGATTTGATTTGATTTGATTTGATTTGATTTGATTTGATTTGATTTGATTTGATTTGATTTGATTTGATTTGATTTGATTTGATTTGATTTGATTTGATTTGATTTGATTTGATTTGATTTGATTTGATTTGATTTGATTTGATTTGATTTGATTTGATTTGATTTGATTTGATTTGATTTGATTTGATTTGATTTGATTTGATTTGATTTGATTTGATTTGATTTGATTTGATCCCCGCCTGTCTGGTCTACTCGACCACTCTAGTCGAGCTCACCTCGCTGACCAGATAAGGGAGGCTTCAAATCAGCAGGCGAAAATTTTCCGTATAGTCCGCGACCTATCCAGAATTGGTCAGGGTGAAGGGCCTCCTTCTAGTATCTCACCTGACCAATTTGCAGCATTTTTAAAATCTAAAGTGGAGGCCATCCGCCGGGAGCTTTCTCCTTTTTTGATGACAGTGGATCGAGCAGAGATGTCCAGCGCTCCACCTTGCCCAGTGAGCTTTGACCATTTTCAGCCTGTGACGCCAGACATTGTGGACAAGGCACTAGTTCGCTATTGGGCCACCACTTCCTCTCTTGACCCTTGCCCGGCCTGACTAATCAAAGCAGCCAGGCCTATAACAACTGAATGGGCCACAGCGATAATTAATGAGTCTTTCCAGGAGGGCAGGGTTTTTCCTGCCCTTAAGGAGACGCTCATTAGGCCCATTAGAAAGAAACCCAATCTGGCGGCGGACAATATTGGCAATTATAGGCCTGTCGCCAACATTTCTTTCATTAGCAAAGTGGTAGAGAGGGTGGTGGCTGATCAGCTTCAGACACACTTGGATGAAACAAATGCCCTGGACCCATTTCAGTCGGGCTTCAGGCCACGCCATGGTACAGAAATGGCATTGGTCGCCCTGTATGATGACCTATTGAGGGAGGCTGTTGGGAAAAACTTCTCTGTTGGTCGTCCTCGATATCTCAGCTGCCTTTGATACCGTTGACCACGATATCCTCCTGAGGAGGATCTCCGAGTTGGGATTTGGTGGCTCAGTGCTGGCCTGGCTCCGATGCTTCCTGGGAGATCATCTTCAGAGAGTTCAGCTTGGGGAGAGTGAGTCGGACCCAACTATGGGGTTCCGCAGGGTTTGGCTATCTCCCAAATGCTCTTTAACATCTATATGAGGCTATTGGGCGAGGTCATCAGGGGGTGTGGAGCGGCGTGCCATCAATATGCTGATGACACGCAGGTCTACATCTCCTTTTTTCCAACTACAGTGGATGCTCTTCTGTCCCTGCAGCACTTTCTGGGGTCGGTACTGCAATGGATGCAGGAGAATGAGCTGAGGCTGAACCCGGACAAGATGGAGGTCCTGAGGGTGGGCGGACCTACTGTTACATACAGCACTGATGTTACCTGTCTGTCATGGGTTTGGAGGGAAAGTTCCATCCTATGGGGAGTGGAAGGCGGGACATCAGGAGGAGGGGCTGTACTGTATAAATATGTGATGCCTGTGTGGTCGCGGGGTGAGGAAACATCGTCATATCTCCCCCACTCTGGCCGACTTACGTTGGCTGCCCATTCGGTTCCGCATTGATTTCAAAGTTCTAATGCTTACGTATAAAGCCCTAATGGTTTAGGGCCTCGATACCTGGCGGAACGCCTCCTCCCACCCAAATCTAGTCGTATCATTTGGTCTAGCCAGGAGGTGGGGCTGAGGAGCCTAACACCGAGGGAGGCCCCGGAAGGAAAAAACAAGAGACTGGGCCTTCTCGGCAGTGGTTCCTCGCCTTTGGAATGGCCTCCCTTCTGAGATCCATATGGCCCCTTCACTGGGTATTTTCAAATGCCATCTGAAAACCTGGCTATTGAGGCAAGCCTTCCCTTCAGCCACCTCTTGATTTATTTTGCTGTCTCACCTCGAGTCTTTTGTCTATTGATGTATTATTTGTTCTATATTTTAAATTGTTTATTTTATATGTTGTTAGCCGCCCAGAGTAGTCAGTTGACTAAATGGGCAGGGTACAAATTCAATAAATAAATAAGACCCTGTCTTATTTTTGGGGAAACACGGTAGTCATTTTAAAAATAGTGCACTAAATCGTGCAATCTAGAGCCATTCAGCTATTGGGGGAAGGGGGGGACAAATGTCTCTCCGAATTCTTTGTACATTTTTCAAGAATTGGTTGCTAGGTGGTATGAAATAGACCTCAGTAGTTTGAAACAAATTTTACAGTTTTTTTTCTATGACGGGTGGAGTATGGGAGCAAATGCAGTCATCCGTGGTCCCTAGACTTCTGAAAGTTGCTCTTCCTGTTGTTGCTAAATGTAATCTGATACATTAATATCAGTTACAGTCTTTCTATGGTCACAGAACTGGAATCAAAACCACATCACTCACATTGATGTCATTTTCTTTGCACACCATCTTAGTTAAAGAGAAATGTGTAATTATTTTATCCATATGTTTCTGTTTATCAACCCTCATTATGACTGTATTAATTTTTTTACCTGTATGCTGTGTTAAAGATGCCATGAAAATAATAGAAAATATGACACTGTAATAAAACATCTATATTTTATTACTCAGGTGCAGCAACTGAACAATATGGATGAAGTTTGTTACCAAAATGTCTTGAAGCAAGTAACAGCTGGACATCAGGTATGATCGGTTTATTGGCCTTTCATAAGAACTGGTTGGTGTATTATATCAGCAAAGATTTATTCTTTGCATGCATAAACACTTTGATTTCCTTCTGTTCCATTTGGAAACCAGCTGACTCAGCCTTTTGCATTTTTCATGGGCAGCTTTTCTAAAATGAAAGTTTCATGTAAAGAAGCCTCCAGAATTAAGGTCCAGATGATGAAGCATGTAGAATTTCTTGTCATCTGCTATTTGACCTCCTTATGCTGAATAGGAACATGAGCAGAAGCGTTTTGATCTAATGAAATAATGTATTTTTTCCTGAAGTGGTGCAAATTGGAAGAAATGAAACAGTGAATTGAATGGATCATATTTCTACGAACTTCCAACCGTTATGAAACATATAAGATATGAATGGCTGTGAAAAGTTTCATTTTTGTCATCATCATAATCATCCTAGAACTGCAGAGCTACACAGCCAGAAACCTAAATCATCCACCAGTTCTATTATCCACTTGTACTCCTTAATACTTTCAGTGCCCCATTTATTCCCACTGGGCATTTTATTCAAGTATTGGCCATAAATAAATTGTTGGTCATTGTGGCGTTCACCCCCGTGCCCCTTGAATGACTGTCAAGACTCTAAGCACACGAAGGCAAACAATCCTCTTACACTGCTGCCACCAGGTGATCACTAAATCACCATTACCTCAGGAAGATTCAGGTCCACACTTCAAGGTCTTTTAAATAGAAATTTTGTTTATTGATTACAGAGATTGAAATTGATTCATGAATATCTTCTGTAGGTAAAGTTATTATTAACAACAACCTTCTAATTGGTAGTACACTCCTAATTCTAATAACACCTCAGAATTTCCCAAACTGCACACTCTACTTCTCCCTCACTCTTCACTCTCACTGACTCTGTTACTCTTACACTCCTTGACTATCTGACTTCGCCTCTTATAGCATCACTCTTGGGTCCGCCTCTCAGAAACATGAATATGCATGAACCATTACATAACAAAACATGAACCATTGACCTAATAAATGGGGAATGCTACAGTCATTTTATGTAAGAATGTTAGTATGCAACTAAAACTCAAAGCAGTTTACAATAAAAATAGATGGACTGAAATGAATCATTAAAAATAATGTTGTGGTGTTAAAACAGTAGATACAAAGTAGTTGATTAAAGAACCCAGGAAACGTTCTTTGTCCGAAATCAGGAAAATAATCAGAAATTGTTGGAGTGGTTTGGAATAAATAGATCATTAGCTGGTGTGAGAAGCACGCCAAGGGAGAAGAATTATCTCCCCCCCCCCCCCC